AAATTCTTTTCTCCTAACCATTTAAAATAGATCTGTTTAAAAACAAAGTTAGACAAGCTCGTGAAAGGTACCCTGAGTGGATTTATGTATGATTTTTAGACAATTAGGAGAAAAGAATTTATATCAAGTTTTGACATGAGTAGCTAGCACTGAGTCATGTGCAGTTTTTAAACGAAAAACGAAAAAGGTTCATTGGTAAAAAGTAGGACAAAAATGTCTTTTTGCCTGTGAATTTACTAAAAACACAGAAAATTAAAAAGTAGGAAAAGTAGGAGAAAATCCAGAAAGGAGGATATAGTAGGACGGTTTTATAGAAAAGTAGGACGTTTACGAAGCCTGACGAATAATTCGGAATCAGCATGGTCGATTGCATATGGGTCTATGATTTTTATTCCTGGGTATTTCCGAAAATCAAGTTAAAAAAAGATTTTAAAATTTTGAAAAAGATTCGAGCAGGAATCATACCCGCATCCAAAGAACTATGTTTTCTTATCAACTCTTTTAGACCACCGAGCTACGAATCTATATTCTCATTCTGTTCTTCTATCAACAAACGAAACCAAAGAAAGTAGTTCTTATAATCGAATTTTTGTTATTTTTCAGCATTTTCCTCTATGCTTTAGTCTTCTGTAAATCAGAATAGACAACAGTATTGAGCAGGTAGACTATCGGATCTTTTTGCACATTTCGTTTAAAAGGAGAATAGCAAAACATCTTCAAAAGAACTGCGACAAAAATCATTTCTTTTCTTTTGAAATGAAATTTTTTTTCTGACGTGTTGTTTTCCATTATATAGTGTGAAATAAAACGAAACAGTGTTTTTTTCTTTTCTGTGCATGTGCTCGTTGCCTTTATATACAAATCTACTGAAAAATAACGTGAAGAGAGAAGAACGAAGAATTGGACAGTCAGAACACAAAAAACACTCAAACACTCAGGCTGAGTGTTTTTTGTGTGTGTTCTGACTGTCCATGACGATAAACTATCTCATTTCAGATGAAAAAATGCAGAAAAGTCCAAATAGAAAAAAGTCGATATTTTCGGTATCGATATCAAAAATGACTTCTTATCACTCAAATATGGGTGAGATCGCTCGCTTGTGTAATGATACATTTACATTTTACTGACATGCCTTCACTAGCGCTTTTACTACATTTTCCAGTTGTACTGACCGACCATACCCCAACATCTTTTCCTGTCTCATCCCTCATAAAAAGAGAATTTTCATTTTCATGTTGAACGCTAGTGCAAAAAGTATGGTTTTTGAAAAATGAAGTTCGAATGGAGATGTGGATAAGAATAATAAGTTACCTGTATTTATATTGGTTTACCTTTGAGTAAAAACTCATGGAGTAAAAATTGATAAATCTCCATGAACTTTTGATGACTAACGAAGGAACCTCTTGAGGTTATAAATCGCTTTTGAATTCAGACTACTTTTATCTTGTAGATCTTAGTGCTTAGTGAAATACACTAAGTTGGTTTGTGCCCATGGTGCTTTGTTGCTGAGATACTGGATTTTTAGTCAGCTTTTGCCTATAGAGCTTGGATTTCTAGCAAAATCCGACTTTCGAATTTTGATTTCAAACTTGCTACACTTGTAGTCCATGGTCATATTAGTATGATGGAAAAATATTCAATGCTAATGAATTCTCCTGCCTTGAGATACTGAGACTTGAATATTTCACCGGAAGGTAAGGGTGAGGATCAAATATTTAAGTCTTAGCATCTCAAGGCGGGAGAATTCATTAGCATCGAATATTTTTCCATCGTTTAACTAGCTTCGCCAGTTAAACTTTACTTTGAATTCTTGGAAAGAGCTGGTGAGTAGAGATGTGTAACCTGGTGCGTAACCCGAAGGTTGGGTACAGGTTCTATTTTTTTTAATTTACTCGAAAACCGGAAGGTAACTCACAAACTTTTAGTGAAAAAATACAGGAGTTCAGGTAAAATACATGAAGGTTTAAAAAAGAATTACTTGAGAACGTAATAATAATTTGACATCTTCAGCCGAAAAACAAAAGTTTTTTAGCTGGAAAACATAAAGGAGAAAATGTTTGGGCATAAGTCGGGTACAAAGCTATGACAAGACATAGAAGGCGTAGGTGAAATATTTTGTAAAGTTTGCACAAAGCTCTATAACGATCTGATATTGGTAGCGACGTTACACATTGAGGCAGAATAAGGCAGTAGATGATGAGCAGATTAACAACTGATGTACGGATGAAGTACATTGAACAGGATGATGAGCGAAAAGGACGTCGAGAGAAGATGACCACAGTGAATATATTTCCAATGGTACCAGGTCCGACGATCAACGGTAAGGCAATCGATGCCAATTTGACTTCAACCAAATTGAGAGAATCCATTCATTTTTCAAAATAGCAGCATAGAATAGAACAGCATATTAGTGTTGGTATCCGTCAGTTATATGTCATCATGTTTGTGATCTTCACTCATATTTCTAGTTTCTCTTTCGACGTACTCTTTCAAAGAGTCACTCATGCATTCTAATGGTGTAAAAAGAGTCAATCCACTTTATTCTTTTTCCGGTGATATGTATCGCTCTTTCCCCAGTATGTACTACATGAAAACAAAACATCTGCAACTGTGATTTGAAATATGAACTGTGCTTCAATTTTTCTTGTAAATTTTGCTTCCGTATATACACGTTGGTCTGTGTTGTTACTGAAAAAGCTTTTATTAGTGACTAACATAAATAATTACCATGTAACTAACGGACGTCAGCACTAATGCTCAGTTTTATTCTTCATAAATTTTGATATGCTCTCTTAGGTGGTACGTGAGATGGTTTTTGTCCATCATAATCTACTTTGTTGTTGTATTTATATTGTGGAATATTCGCGGTCATGCAGGTTCAATGAATTTAATTTCTCTTCTAAATGTATATTCCTTATTATAAAAAAGGCTGGCAGTACCCCTGCGTATGACAGGCTATGTTGCACCGGTACCCATTACGTCCACATTTTACAGGTCACCATTTTGTTATCTACGATTGATTTCACTATGTTTTATTCGAACTTTTCTTGGAGAACATAGTGTGATCAAATTTTAATGCGTTCGCCGAGCAGACAATGCTTTTGCCATGTTATAATCTATCTAAAAAGGAAAAGTCGGTATGAACTGAGAGGATGCACACAGAATATTGAGCTCTGTGTTCCCTTATCCAAATAGGTCTCATTTTCGCTAGTCACACTGGTACACTATCGGATTTTTAGACAAGTTTTCTTTTGAGGCACATCTCTTCGCAGATTAACTAAGTCCATATATATCACAAAAAAGAATGAACAACAACTACTTTTGATATAAAAGGTCTCTTAAAAGGAATGTTTCTTCAGATAGCTGAGACGCTGATTTCACCATATTTTACCCGATTTTCTCTTCGGGAACATAATGCAATCAGGGTAAATCATTCACCTCAGACTCACTTTGAAGTTGAGATCAAAACTTGTACACAATAGTTTTATTAACACGCCCTCTCTTTGTCTAAATCTTTTTTACTCGCCATAAGAACCATATTAACAGTTTTTTCTCATGTATTTCTCAATTATGGTTTGCCATATAACTGGCATTTGATCTCAGAATAAAAGTGAGAGCGACTAAATGTTTTATAGTTCGCCTGTGAGTTTTACCGTAAGGTTACGTTTGCCATATATGATGAAAACGTTCATGCTTGGACTTTCAGAGAATGTATATATCTGTAGATATTATCGCTAGGCCTTAGTGGATCAGTTCATTATTAGAGCCAATCTAATACATTCACTATCTGTCTATAAATAGGAGGCTTTTTCCAGCAAGTGATTATTCATTCTTCCACTACGAGAGCAACGGCGATCAATATTGTAAGTACTATCTTTCTAGGAAAAAATACAGCTGAGTTCAGCAAGCAAGCGAACAGAAGAAGTTGAAGAACATATTCTAGTCGATCGAATACTATTTTAGTCTGGTCCGCGTCATCGCCGTCTTCCTCGTCCTTATTATCGTTGTCGCCGTCGCCATACCACCTTCCTACTAGTTTCTTTTTTTACAGCGCCGAATTGAGGGTGTTCCAGTAGCCTGAATTCGGCACAGAGAAGCTCTTGATTGATTAAAAACACAGGCGAGGTGAGCGATGCATGTGCGTACGTACGTCCATTACCTAATCAATGTGGTCCATGCGCTTCCAGCATATAGAGTCTCTCTATATGCGCGCGAAATATTTATTTCCAACTAATCGAAACAAACGGATCGCAATTTCTTTCGTATTGTTGCTACTGTTTCTCGATATTCCAAAAGATGTGGGTGTTTTTCAGGGAATTTTTGTTGGGTCATTTCAACAGCTCGCTGAGCGAGTTCATGAGCCAATTTGTATTGTCCCGTCGCTTCGTAAACTTTAGCCAAATTGTTATGAGTTACTGCCAAATCCGAATGAATCGAGGGCAGCAATTTTTCACGGATTTCCAGTGCTTTTTCATGAAATTCTAGCGCTCTTGAGTAATTGTTCATCTTACGATAAGTTTCACCCATATAGTTGTATGTCAAAGCCAAATTAGTACGATTGCAAGGAATATTTTCCTGAATTTCAAGTGCTTTTAGAAGAAATGAAACTGCAGTGGAGTAATTCCCAGTCAATCTTTGTACCTCTCCAATGTTGCCGTACGTTAAAGCTAATAAGTTTGGACCTATTTCCCGAAACGCCTTTTGGCGTATCTCCAAGCTCCTTTCAAAACATGCGAGTGCTTTCGAATAATCTTTCATCGAACGATGTATCGTTCCTAACGAATCGTATGAATAAGCGAAGTCTGGATTATTAACATCCCGTGATATTTGCTGAATATTCAAACCTGTTGTAACCGCTAAAAGTGCTTTCGAGTACTCTCCCATCTTGTCATACAAGCAGCCGATGTTGTTGTAACTCACAGCCAAACTCGGATGATTCGGAGGGAGAGATTTTTTATTAATTTCAAGCGCTTTTTCATAGTATTCAAGTGCTTTCGAGTACTCTTCCATCTTCTGGTACACTAAGCCGATGCCGCGGTAACTCGCCACCAAATCGAGATGATTTGGAGGGAGAGATTTTCTATTGATGTCCAGCGCTTTTTCATAGTATTCAAGCGCTTTCGAGTACTCTCCCATCTTGTCAAACACCAAGCCGATGTTCTTGGAAGTCGCAGCCAAATTGCGATGATTTGGAGGGAGAGAGTTTTCGGTGATTTCGTGCGATTTTTCATAATATTCCAGTGCTATCGAGTACTCTCCCATCTTGTCATACACCGAGCCGATGCAGCCGTAGCTCATAGCTAAATTCGGATGACTCGGAGGGAGAGAGTTTCTATTCATTTCAAGCGCTTTTTCATAGTATTCAAGTGCTTTCGAGTACTCTCCCATCTTGTCATACACCAAGCCGATGTAGCCGTAGCTCGTAGCGAAACTGGGATGATCTAGAGGGAGACATTTCTCGAAGATTTCATGTGATTTCTCAAAGTATTCCAGTGCTTTCGAGTATTCTCCCATCTTGTCATACGCCGAGCCAATGTTCTTGCAAGCCGCAGCCAAATCGGGATGATTTGAAGGGAGAAATGTTTCTGTGATTTCGAATGATTTTTCATAGTATTCGGCTGCTTTCGAGTACTCTCGGATCTTGTCATACACCACCCCGATGCTCTTGTAACTCATAGCCAAATTCGGATCATTCTGCCGGAGAGAGTTTTTATTGATTTTAAGCGCTTTTTCATAGTATTCAAGTGCTTTTGAGTACTCTCCCATCTTGTCGTAAGCCAAGCCGATGCAGCCGTAGCTCGTAGCGAAACTCGGGTGATCTGGAGGGAGAGATTTCTCGAAGATTTTGTGTGAGGTTTCAAAGTACTCCAGTGCTTTTGAGTACTCTCCCATCTTTTCATAGACCACGCCAATGCAGCCACAACTCATCGCCAAATCGGGATGATTTGCAAGAAGACATTTTTGTCTAATATCGAATGATTTTTCATAGTATTCCAATGCTTTCGAGTACTCTCCCATCTTTTCATACACCGAGCCGATGTTCTTGGAAGTCGCAGCCGAATCGGGACGATTTGGAGGGAGAGAATTTTCGACGATTTTGTACGATTTGTCATAGTATTCCAGTGCTTTCGAGTATTCTTCCATCTTGTCATACACCACGCCGATGCTGTTGTAACCCATAGCCAAATTCGGATGATCCGGAGGGAGAGAGTTGTTATTGATTTCAAGTGCTTTTTCATAGTATTCAAGTGCTTTTGAGTACTGTCCCATCTTGTCATAAACCGACCCCATGCAGCCGTAAGTCGTAGCGAAACTGGGATGATCTAGGGGGAGAGATTTCTCGAAGATTTCACGTGATTTCTCAAAGTATTTCAGTGCTTTCGAATATTCTCCCATCTTGTCATATACCACGCCGGTGCACCCGTAACTCATAGCCAAATCGGGATGATATGCAGGGAGAGATGTTTGTCTGATGTCGAGTGATCTTTCATAGTATTGCAGTGCTTTCGCGTATTCTCCCATCTTGTCATATACCGAGCCAATGTTTTTGCAAGTCGCAGCCAAATTGGGATGATTTGGAGGGAGAGATTTTTCAGTGATTTCGAATGATTTTTCATAGTATTCGGCTGCTTTCGAGTACTCTCGGATCCTGTCATACACCACGCCGATGCAGCCGTAGCTCATAGCCAAATCGGGATGATCTGGAGGTAGGGAGTTTTGGAAGATCTCGTGTGATTTCCCATAGTATTCGAGTGCTTTCGAGTACTCTCCTATCTTCTCATACACCACGCCGATGCACCCGTAACGCATAGCCAAATCAGGATGATTTGCCGGGAGAGATTTTTGTCGGATTTCGAGTGATTTTACATAGTATTCCAGTGCTTTTGAGTAGTCTTCCATCTTGTCATGTAAGAAGCCGATGCTGTTGTAACTCAAAGCCAAATTCGGATGATTCGACGGGAGGGATTTCTGATTGATTTCAAGCGCTTTTTCATAGTATTCTAGTGCTTTTGTGTACTCTTCGATCGTTTCATACACCAAGGCGAAGTTGACGTAACTGGCGGCGAAATCAGGATGATTTGGAGGGAGAGATGTTTGGAAGATTTCGTGGGATTTTTCATAGTATTCAATTGCTGTCGAATAGTCTCCCATGTTGTGATACACCACGCCGATGGAGCCGTAAGTCGCAGCCAAACTTGAATGATTGGGAGGGAGAGATTTTTGTTGGATTTCGAGCGATTTTCCGTAGTATTCAAGTGCGTTCGAGTAGTCTCCCATGTTGTCATACACCAAGCCGAAGTTGCGGTAACTCGCAGCCAGATCAAGATGATTGGGAGGCAGACAATTCTCGATGATTTCGTGGGATTTTTCATAGTATTCCAGTGCTTTTGAGTGCTCTCCCATCTTCTCATACGCTACGCCGATGCAGCCGTAATTCGCAGCCAAACTGGGATGATTTGGAGGGAGAGATTTTTGTTGGATTTCGAGCGATTTTCCGTAGTATTCCAGTGCTTTCGAGTAGTCTCCCATATTGTCATACACCAAGCCGAAGTTGCCGTAACTCGCAGCCAGGTCAAGATGATTTGGAGGGAGACATTTCTCGATGATTTCGTGTGATTTTTCACAGTATTCCAGTGCTTTTGAGTGCTCTCCCATCTTCTCATACGCTACGCCGATGCTGCCGTAATTCGCAGCCAAACTGGGATGACTTGTAGGGAGAGATTTTTGCTGAATTTCGAGTGCTTTTCCGTAGTATTCCAGCGCTGCTTTTCCGTAGTATTCCAGCGCTTTCGAGTAGTCTCCCGTATTGTCATACACGACGCCGATGTTGCTGTAAGTGACAGCCAAGTCGGGATGATTTGGTGGGAGAGATTTTTGTCTGATTTCGAGTGATTTTTCAAAGAACTTGACGCTTTTTCCGCATTGGCCTTGGTTATGATAGACCTGTGCAAGTTGATGATATAGAAAAGCAGATTCGTCCGAATCGTCGCTGGATGATCTGTCGAGTAGTAATTGGTAAAGTTCCTCAGCCTTGTCGGAATTACCTGATAGGAGGAGTAGGTGACCGATGCGATGCCATCCAGTCAGGCCTGCAAATTCCACTCGCATTCGCTCGGTGAGTCCTTGAACGAGTTCGTCGCTGTCCGACATCAATGTAAGTTCTACTTCAAAGATCCCAGTTTTGAGTTGTTTCATATTGCCGATGCGAAATACGGAGTTCATGGAGAAAAGAATTTCCTGTTCTGTGCTTTCGAAGTAGCTCTCCTTGTCGAGTAGGGCGAAGGGAAATGAAGCAATCGACGGATTGATGGTCATTTCGAAGAGAATTCCTACGTGGTCGACTTTAGTGAGTGCACTGCGAGCAAAGTCATACGGGACGTTGCGAATTGTACTCGTCGATAAAAAGTTGCTAAATGATAAGAGGCCACCGCGTGACTCTTTCAATTTGTCAAAGTCACTTTGTAATAAGCTTTGTCCTCGATAAACGATAAATGTTTCGTTGAATAGATGCTTTTGTTCGAAATGAAGTCGTTCGATACAACGATGAAGACCTTGAATGAAAACTCCCATCGTAACGATCATATCCGCTTCGAATGTGCGCAAGACTCGATTGAGAATTTGATAAGTAAAACATTTTCGACTGTACCACCATACGGGAGTATGCCGATGATATTCATGTTTGAATTCACTGATAATTTGTAATTCTTCGTCATTGCCTGTGTACAGTTTACTACATACTTCGGCCAATGTTTTGATTGCTTGTTCATCATATTCATTTTCCAGAATAATCTCTTTGAATAATGTGGTATACATAAATGTTGATTCGAGTTCATTCGGATTTTGGGCATTTGTGATACGAATCGACATTGAATCTTGGTCACATTGACGAGTATGTTGTTTCAGTGCTTCACGAATGGGTAGTATATCTGTATAGACACCCTTTACTTTGGGCCATTCTTTAGCCCATTGTTCGTGTCTTGACTTATTGCCACAGAAGATATAGATAGAGTCAATTTGTGGCATATTATGAATGTTGGGTACAGTCTGGTGTGCGAGAGCACCTGATACAATCATGAATACCTTTTCATCCTTGATTTCAGTGAGAAAACCTATGCATTTGTCAGCATCAGTGTGTGCCTTGATCGTGTTCACAGCTCGTCGTAGTCCAGTGAGTGAATTCAGAAAATCTTTATCTGACTCGTCAATATTAGAGTCAAGCCAGATGAGAAGAAAATTTTGAATAATACGCATTCGTGTAGATCTTATTGGTAGCCGTCTTGTCGTGTCAGATTTGTTGCTAAAACAATGAATCAGTGAGTGGTACTTACGATTGTAGTGCAATTTTTCACATGTTGTTCATCCTTTCCTTTTAGGGCTCGCGTCAATGATCAGGGTGTATGATGAGCTTCTACACTACACTTTTTACCATCTCAACACCGGATTGTTAAAGATGCAAAGGAAAGGAGTTTTTTTCGACTACTGTATCTACTTCGGATATATCAAGAAAAGTGGCAACATCACTGTACTACTGTATGAAACAGAGTTGCTGCCCCAAAATGTTTTGTTTTTGATCCATGGACCCGTTCATAGACCGAATGGATTGAATCCGGTTTTTAATAGCTTCTTGCATTGAGGAGCTATTCGATTTCTCCTAGTGTGGCATTCTATGGACAATAGTTTCATACGGTATGTGGCAAATAAAACCGAAGCAGCCAGTGAAATAGGATATATAAATAGCTGAGTTTATTCAGCTTTTACCGCTCTATGATCGGGTATATACCGTGAAGAATTTTCTTAATCTGCTGTGCACTAATTTTTCACCAACTGAACACGACACGCAAAAAAGTCGGATCCAGAAACTTTGATATTGTTATATTAGATGTGCATGATAAATAAATAAATAAAAGTAAATTGTTCACCGGTACCATGGTTCCTCAGTCGTCGGGTTTTGACCATCAGGCTTCATCTTGCATGACGGTTGCAATATAGTCAAAATGGGTTCGTGAAAGTTGACAAGAAGTGGAAGATTCAGCAAGACCTAGCAGACCTCTAATTGAGAAAATATCGAGCGAATTCATTGCGTGTGTTACGATGAAGTTCAGTTCTGAACAAAACCGTAACCTTTGTTAAATATATTCCTTAACAGTGAGTTCTTCAGATGCTGAAACGTAAACACCTCCAAAAAGTTGATGTTTCTAACAGAAAAATGGCGATGGTCCAGAGAATATCTTCCGTGATTTTAATAGCACCTTGAGTTTTCCAACGGTCAAACGTTCGTGCAAGACGATCGCTGAAATCGTTTCTAACGAACCCGCTCCAAGGAGACCATGCAGAAGGTCATTAATTGCTTCAAACGGAAACAGTATGTGTCCGCTCGACTGTTGACCAGCGAACTTGACATCTCAATTCGAAGCATTTGTCGGATTCTCAAAAAATGATCTTCATCTTCATCCCTACAAGAAAATAGGCGAGATCCTTCTCATTCTGCCGTCGGATTACTAATCCACTAAGCCTCAATTAAAAAGCTGTTTGTTTCTTGTAAGTATATTTCTAAGATTAGAATATTCATTGTATATACGAGAGATCATCAAACTTATGCATTTTGAGTTTCCCTTAAATCTTGCTATTTTGATAAATACAAGAATTGTATTTTTATCATCTCTTTTTTCTTACCTCCAATAGAAGTGGTAGATGTGGCTTTGGCTAATGGTTGACTAGCAATTGCATCTTTCGCAGCATCAACCAATTGTGGTTTGCTGATACCTGTGGTGTAACTACTTATAGTTGCCGAATATTTTTGTGATAAGGATGAGGATTTGTTTGCTGTTGTACTTTTCAGGACAGTTCGTATATGTCGTCATCGTTCTCACCTTTCAAATACATTAATACGTCAAAAGAAAACATCTTAGACAGCTGAAATGAGTAGGCCATTCATTGACAAGTTGAAATGTTATGCTTTACACAATTTAGCCGAAATTTCAGATATAGTGTTGAAGTGTTCGTCATAGTGGCTATAGAAAACATATTTTTGTATCTATTGCAGGTTTTGAAGGCATCGAAAACAACTTTAACCCTTGCTCCTGATCGTGTCACGTTCAACCATTTCTGCTTAGAACATCGCATGGTAGTCATAAATGGAATAAATAATACAAATTACTTTATTTTTCTATTTCAAACAATACTTGATTTCATTTGTTTGAATAGTTCAAAACATTTTCGCTAAAGTGAACGAGAAACTACATGATATCTTTTGGTTCAAGTAACCAGAAAGTGAATGAAGCTGATATGCATGGTCACTTCCTGAAAATTTTATGATATCATACTTAATTCGTCGTTTTTGATGTTATTCAGTTATAGTATATTAAAATAAATATTGAAGAATTTCTAACAGTAACAAATATTCAGATTTTATGATACACGATTGTTGAGTGTTGAAGTTTATAGCGAGAAAGCTGGGCATCCCCTCCTATTACAGACAAACCCCTTACCGAAATATCTTGGAAAATGAACGAAAATACCTAGAAAACCTTTGTTATCGATCCAACTGTGGGTGCCACTGACGCAAACACTTAGTATTTAGGTCTAAACTCTCTCCTTTCAGTCAAGGGAATAACCCTCTTATAGATATCACAACTGAAAGAAGGAAGAATAGACTCGTCCAATATAATCAGAAACGCTGTGCGCAAAAACGCTAATTAAAGGAAAAAAAAATGAGAGGGAACACCTGAAGTCTATCAACGTTCAAAAACTATCTGAAAAGTTCCTTTCAAGCTTCAAAACTCGCATGTCCATATGATCGCTGTTTTCCCATTGTAGTCAACTCAATCCTCCATGCCAAGATTGATTATGTAATAAATGAGTGATATTTCTTGTCCTTATTGTATGTATCGCCGAAATGTAATGGTTGAAAATGAATGCGAATAGAAAAAAAAAGACGAGTCACGCTATTAATGTCATATTTCTTTTTTTTTGGCGGTTCTTCTCTTTCTTTTTCATGTGCTTTTTTTTTGTTACTCAAGGACGCCGTCCCGTTTCTGTTGAAAATAAATAATAAATAATCCCGTTTCTGTTGCACAGAAGCAAGTGATCATGTGTAATGAAAGAAAAAACAAACGAACAAGACAGTGAAGTAGTGATGGGCTGCAGCAGCACGAAAAAACGCAATGACTGCGCAGTCTCAAAGGATTTTAGTTCTTACATAAGAACTCAAATCTTTTTAGGGTTTCTACAGGACACTATATAGTATCTATAGGCGAAAGATCATTGAAATTGGAGAGGGGCATCGGAGAGGGGGGGCTTCCCTCATGAGTAGAGCTACGAAAAAGACCGATACACAGTGGACAATTTTCAGTTAGCATGTGGACATTTGACTAAAAAAGCTATCCGGAAGCACTGAAAGCTGTTTTCTGTAGGTTATCGAGCATGCTCTTTCCATTGGAACCCTATAGAAAATTCAAAACCGCTTTCATATAGGTTTGTCTGAAAACCTAGTACTTAACAAAACTTTTAATTTTTCCGGAAAAAATTATTTTATATTTTCGACTATCTAGAATTCAGCCTATACTCGAAATAATTTTCGTGCACTTCAAAAACTGATTTTCTAGCAAATCGGGCCTGTAAAAGCTTTTACTTTTTTTATCCAAACTAACGGTAAATGTTAGTATATTTCTTATGCACTGTTTAGATTCCATCACCTAAAATGAGTTTTATGTGGTCTTCCTAGTGCCCATCCTCCACATTCTCCTTGGCTTCTCTGTAGTTGGGAGCCAAGCCACTAGCCTTTAGACGAGTTCTTTTGTCGGAATTACGGTTGCTGATATTTTTTCTTATTGGTTTAAGCTTTAATCTTGAACCAGAACGAAATCGAGAATATAAATTCCCATTATATCATTCTGAAACTTAAACTATCAAAACACAAAATCAATCCTTCTTATTATTACAAAATCAATTTTTTCTTATTATTAGTTCTTCTCTAAAATATGAATTATAACTTCGGCTATTTTGATGTGATTAGTTGTAGAGCCCCGCCCTTGCGTACATAATTACGGTGACCCGCAGAGGCGTAGATCCACCAGATCAAGGGGCACTGACGCAGGATAACAAGCCTGGCTTACTTGGAAAACTCATATCTCCTAGAAGGCTCTGCTTTTATCCCGTAATTCACAGGACCACAATGTGGACCAAGTTCAAGCATTCTTGCCTTCATACCCTTCTCGGCGAGTCACTTCGGGTACAGTGGGAGCCTATCATAACCAAATTCTATAACAGATTATATATATCAATCCTAAAGACTAGAGAAAGGCTTAACGTCTGCTTCAACATGTCAGAGCCAAAGGGGGATGATCGTCTTGCGAACCTTTGAGCTAATCCGTCCTCTTGTATTTTTATACATAATCCAGTTATGTACAGATCACCCGTTGTAGGTCAGCAATAAAAAATTTATTATAATGACTAAATAATTTACGAATATTCAGAGCCTGAAGTTAGAAGAGTTCCATAATCATCAACAACCTTGCTTGAACCTAGTTTAACGTCGTCAAGGACGATAGCACCGGCCCTAAAATGACCTATCGATTAAAAAGTTTTCCTAAAAGCATTCACACATCATTCGACGCAGATTTTTGCGCTGATTCCAAATATGTCCTCAGTTTCCAATTCCACTTGCTTCCTAAAAGGGTAAACTCGAATTTACGTCAAAAACCTATAACTCAGGTTAAGAGCGTTTGAGTTATTTTGGGCTAACAGCATCGATATATCGTTAGTAGATTCATGTTTGGTAAAAATTTCATCTCATTTGAAGCTTCATCACTCTGTTTGACTCGTCAAGCCGGCCACTGTGACACCTAGAAAAAAACTTCCAATGGTGGAAAGATAGAGCGTTTGCCGAAGTATATGTTCTGCCATTTGAATTTGCCAAAAGTCCACTTTCGTTTTTTCCTCTAATGCCACATGGTTACCCACTGTACGATGTCCGCACTTATTTATCAAAGACTTATTTATACAGTCAGCTAGCGAAGGAGAAA